GGCCAGAAAGCCTCTGCTTAACTCCTGAAGTAGCTGCCGGCTGTTGTTTGCTGCCAAGTGTGATAAAAAGACTGAACAGTCATATTTCCTCTATAAAAAAAATACTACTGCTTAACTGTAATCGGCAGCGCAAGAGCAGTTGTAAGCCCTCGACTCAGTGTTGTGCTGTGAGGGCTGTATTTAGTGCGTGGTTTAAGGCTACCACACGCCATGCAGCGCCACATGATTCAGCTTTTACATGCTGCGTGTTTCAAAAAGCAGAAGTATGAAAATACAGACATGTCAGACAAATCACTGTAAGTCATATCTCTGTTGCAATCGTAAAAGCAGAAATGCAGAAATGCAAAGCACACCAATCCTCTGTGATTGCTTCAAAAAGAAAGCCCCTTATGAAACAGCTTCACAAGCGTTTAGCAAATTTAAAGGTCATGCGAAGTTTAGCAAGGGCTCAGTTGCTCAAGCTTCAGGGAAATCTGCTTTACTGATTAGCATAATAGAGAAGTGCTTTTAGCTCTTGAGGCAGGCAAGCCGCCCTTCACGCCTCTGACCGTGTCTCTGGGATTAGTGCAAGGGGATTGCAGAATGGTTGGTGTTAATTAGGACAAAAAAGGGGAAGAAACTGCTGATGCTCAGGAGGACTTGCAGCCTCTCTGCCCACCGTTTGCTACACACCGCGCAGGGGACTTGTGACGAGGCCTGGCCCCAGTGCCACCTAAAGCCCCAGGCTGAAGAGATGCGTCTGCTGCTGTGACCGTGGCCATGGCGGAGGGTGAGCTGAGCCTGCGTTCCCCCTCATGGTGCTGTTTCATGGTCACAAAGCACAGGGACAAGGGGCGGTTGGCATTAGGTGCAAGGTACATGTGTGGTTTTTTGAAACACAGAAGTACAGAAGGCTTGAGGTGGGAAGGACTTCTGGAGATCTAGTCCAAGTAGGGACAACACAAGCAGGGACACCTACAGCACATGGCACAGGATCACATCCAGGTAGGTTTGAGTATCTCCAGAGAAGGAGACTCCACAGCCACAGTTCTGTTCCAGTGCTCAGTCACCGTCAGAAACACGTTTCTGTTTTCCACATCCAAATACCTGCCACCAGCTGTTGCATTCTTCTCCTGTCTAGGGGCTGTGATTCAGTAAAGTGCTCTAAATCCAGTGGCTAAGGTTCTCTCTCATATTATGTAATCAAAATCTTATTTTTATTTATGTTTTATACCCTTTTGGGGACTGTGTGTGACATGCAGCTGAAGCATAGTTGATGGGATGTCATACACCAGTAAGTTCATAGCATATTTTCCCAGGCACCTGAGTGAAATGTTCAATAATTTTTACTCAAATGGAGAATCCAAACTTTGAAAAATATGTAGGGATTAGCTTTTCTGGAGCTGTACTTACCAGACTGAGGGTCAGGTCATTTTACAGGTGTTCTCTCATTAATAATCACACTACATGTGTTTTTTGTGAAATATAAACAGGACAACATCTGTGATTTATGTTTCTGATTTAGGAGAGCAGAGAAGAATTTATGTGCCCATCCTCGATGTGAAGATTCTTATATATTTCTTTAAATCTATGTTTCAAAGGACAAAAAGTGTTCTGGGCCTCTGGGAAGTGTAATCTTGCACGAGCTGCGTGTAGGAAAGTAAACAGAAGATCAGAAACTCTCTGCCAAATAACAAACCTTAAAAAAAAAAAAGGAAAACATACTGCTTCCTCACTGATTTTTAACCTTGAGCAGACTTCTGTCCGGGCACATACTAGCTGAATGGTCCGAAAATGCAGGCAAATGACATAACTTATTGCAGCCCAGTGTCCCTTATTTTTCCCCTTCTCCATCAGGAGCTCACAGCCCCAGACATGGATCCCAGGCAGAAGAAGCCTCTGCCACTGCCCTGCTGCGGTCCAGAGGCGCAGGAGTGAGTTGGCCAGTGACACATTATTTTTCCTTTGTTCCAGGACAAAGGCCGGGCAAGGCTTGGAGGTCTCTGCCCTGTGGCGTGAGAAGACATCACACTTGCGGCCAAGGACACCTCCAACAGCCAAGGACCCAGGCTGCTCACTGAGGCACATGTGAGTCTGGAGAAGGATGCAGGTATTTTTGGAACAAAAGCTCATGATTTCTGTTTTTCTGATATGCAGCTGTGTATCAAAACTTTTGTTTGTGCTTGCTTATGACAACTGGAGATGTAGGTGAGACTATGAAAGCAACTTACAGTATTAGGAGAGAGGGTTTTATGGCAGCAATTATGTTTAGACACTGTAATGCAAAACAGTGTCTAGAGACAGCTCATAGAAAAAATAAAGTAACTTTATTAATTGTGATTTACATGTGGATTACAAGAGCTTTAACTGGTAAATCAGGGCGTTTCTGGAAAAAATGCCACCTTTTGATCTTTGAGTATTATTTTGTTACTGCAAATATTCTGAAAATGTTGTACCAGTTCTCTATTTCCTGGGAACTAAGCCCAGAATAAGCCCAAGACTACAGTTACGAAGGTCTGTGGAGGAAAATAGTATTTAAAACATAAACTCAGAACACTTATTAGAAAAAATCATTTATTCTGTTGCCAATAGCATCTTCCAGTTATGTACTAGCTGTGGAGTCAACCCCAGACCCCTATATAGACATGTAAACTCTTGAAATATCATGAGACATGCTCACAGTGGGATAACAGAGCTGCTGGAGTGTGTGGGATGTTGTTATTGTCTTCGGGCTTAGCATAAATACAATCAAATAGTTATTTCAGTGTTCTCCTGGTAAATTGCCTGCCTTAACTCGATAAACCCCTTGCTGTGCTGGCAAAAAGGAGTCATCCCGAGGGAGCTGGTATCCACGGCAGTTCTGATCTCAGCATTGCTTTTGGTCCCCTGGAGCAAGCTGTGTACTCTGTACAGTATTGTCTGCACAGCAAATACAAGGCTCTTGGTGCTCGCACATCTAAACGGAAAAGACCGCATAAGGTAACTTTAAATGGTGTTTGCCCAGTGACCTTGGCCTAACAATTAACTTTAGTACCACTCTGGTGTGGACTAAGTGCTCGTTCCTCCACATTCTCATTTTTTTGGGTCATTCACTGGAAATTATCTAAGTATCATTTATTGGAAATGATCTGTTTTGTGCTGCTTTTCTGAGAATCATTTCAGATATTGGTAGATGAAGAACAAGTTCTTCCCTGAGGTGATTTTATTCACAAATACACTCCATATCAATATTAGCCTTTAAGGAATAAAGCTGTAATGTGCTTAAGCTTGCCAGGGTGTGAGAGCATGGGAACATATCATTCCTGATTTAAGTTTTATGGCTCAAGGCCTAAAGGACAAGTGGATCCTCCCTTCCCCCAAAGAGCTGGATAGGAATGGAAACCCAGAAGGGCTGGGCACACTTTTGGCTTCTGGTAGGGAGCAGGGAAAGCTGAACAAAAGGCTCTGATGGTAAGAATGAAAGAGGGTTCATGTAGTCTGTGTGGGTACAGAGGAGCCTTACTATTCCACACATCTGTCTTCCTTGTTCAGGGGAAGGTGAAAGCTGTCATCATTGAAAGTGCTTGTCAGTCCAAATACCTTTCTTCGGTTATACTACTGATTCCTCCCTCCCTGCAGTATTTTGGCATAAAACAAAATTAATATTTTTTTTAAATAAAATGTTTATAGCAAATTAAATGTACTTGAAGCAGCAACAGTGGCAGAAGTGCAAGCAGACCTAGCAGACTGGTATTTGGCTAGATGAGTCTATGAGCCACAGATCCACAACAGCGGTAGCGTCCAAAGTGTGTTAAAAAATGGCCATGCAGTAAAAGTGCAGGAATGATGGAAGCAGTAATTATGCTTTTATAAGAAGGACAACCCAGCTCCGCCTAGGGTAAGTGACTGCCCTGATCAAATGCTACAGTTTGGACCTCTGGGTAGAAGAAATTCTTGGCCAAGTCAGAAGGGAAAGGCTAAGCATTATTTCAGAAATCTGTTCTATAGTCAGATTTGGGATTTTTCACTAGAAACTGTGTGTTCATATATAGAAACTGCCTACAAATGATGCAAAGATTTTACATTAAAAACTTACAGGGAGTTCCAATATTTGAAGCTCACTAGTTTATCAAATTATCATATGATTTCCCCCTGAGATTCATTAGGGCTGCTCTGCTCTAGCTTACAGTTACTATATCAAAGTATTACATGCGTGATGGTTAGAAAGGTGTCTAGTTTGAAAAGCAGCTTTATGTTGCTCGGTATGTCTTTAATTCAGGTTCTCTCATAGGTATGAAAGCCTATGATCAGGATCCTATAACTTGTCTATAGCACAGACTCTGTATTATAGTGACTCCCTCCTTGATTATACATGTTATTTTCGTTGGTGCTCAAGCTTATCTTCCACATTAAAAAATTAAGGACATTCTTTGAATTAAGCTGAAAAAATCACCATGCACTACTCATATCACTGTTATTTGTTAGGGCAATTTCTTGGAAGAAAATACTATTTTGACAGAAAATGATTTTGTGCTGAGCAATATCAGTCAATGTTTCTGTTATAAATTTGTGTTTTCAATTTTATGTTCCATTTTTCACCAGGGATACCCAGCATCTGGACATAGAAATTGTATTTATTTTCATAGGCATAAATATCTCCAAATGGTGTTTGCCTCTTTTTTTTTGGGGTGGGGGTGGGGGTTAGTTTGAAACAAAATTATAAACTTTTTTGGCAATGTGATTTAAAAATTTAATCTATTTTGTAATTTATTTTTCTGCATGAGACAACTTGAAGTGCCTGTAACATGGAAGGGCTTTCTTTTACTAGCTGTAATAGTTATTTAAAAATAATTGTAACCAATTTCATAGCAGCTCAAATCCACCACATGGCAGTGAGCCTTCAACATCACTTTTGTCTTCCCAGTGCTCTTGGGGTAGCTCTGTGCAAGATTCATGATATCTTTGCCTGTTTTTAAATTGACACTAATATATCTGATTTCTAACAGCTTCCCGTATAAGCGCATCCTGTTGAGATAACCAGCAACCCTGTAGGAGCCACATTGTGTGAGTCACTGTTTCGGTGGCAGGGCTCCATGAAAGTGTGGCTGCAGTCTTTGCTGAGGTGTTCTGGGCCACGCTGTGTAGAGGAAGGTGTAAACTAGCATGCTTGCTAGTTTATGAAGACATTGAACCCTTTAACGACCAGGGAATACTAGATAAAGTTTTGCAGTTCTCCACTTACACCAGGAGGAACCAGACTTTGCTTGTTGGTGGCAAGCAGCCCTGAAGAAATTGCTAATTTGTCAGGCAGTTTGATTACTTAATGAGAAAAAAAAAAGGGAAAAAAAAAGAAAGGAAATACAGTAGGGAATGTAAAATGTATCTTTCCTTTTGTCTTTGATAAAGGGTTATAATAATGCATTTGCAACTGATTCACCAAAGTAAAGACCCTAAAAAGAAAAAACATTGTTATCCAACTATGTTTTCTGAATGCATGGTATTTGGTGCAGTCATTTAAAACCTGTAATTTATGTCCTCATGGCATATGAATTGCTACAACTGCCACACCAGTTTTTTTCTCAAAGGAAAGCAAACAGAGCCAAAGAAGGATCCATAACAGAAGTTTTCCAGTTGGAATGATGTCCAAGTCTTTAATATCTCATTTGAGCCAGTGGAACAGTTCCAGCAGTTCAAGCCACAACACTACTACTTACTGGAATTAATAACTTTGGTAGGAAGCTCACTTGTACAGTATGTGTTCAGTATTCAAATGGGTGTATCAAATTCTCGGAGTCTTTTGAATGTTTTTTTTCACACTGTCTTGCTGCATGCAAAGAGAGGTCCCTAAATATGAGAAGATGCTATTTTATTTTTCAAAACCTTGTGATAGTTTTTGTCAAACAGACCGCTGCAGCTTCTTTAGCGGCAGACACAGTGATTTGCCACGAAGAAAAACACTTGGTAAGGGGTCCTAGTTCACCATTTTTTAATGTGTCACACTTTCAGATGAGAAATGTCTTGGTTATGTGGCAGATCACTCAGAGACAGAATCCAAAGATAAAATAATGTATTTGATCAAAAAACAGTGTCTTGCAGTAATGAAACGAAGTTACAGATAAAGTAGCAAAGCATGTTGTTAAGATTATATTTATCAATAAATATCTTCAAAAGTCACCTCAGCATCTCAGCTAACTTCTAGCCCTTCTTCACTGATTTTGGAAGCCCTATTCACTCAAAATGGATTTTCTTTGTCTGAGATGGCTGTTTCCCTCTTTACTGACCTCCCTGAATCACTGAAAGAGAAGAAAGGAGTGCAGAGGAGAAGCTAAGGATTTTCTTATATCCTAACTGCAAGCAATACGAATATCCTTTTTTTTTTCTTTCCGATTTAAAAAAGATTTAGTTGAGTCTTGTGACTAGATTCTTAGAAGTGATTCTGTGAGGAAGAGAGCACATATTTGACTACCACAGGCTACCGCCTACCTCCATAAGTTGTTACCTTTGCATTTCTACTGCATATTGTAATCACTACACTGTTGATTTTACATGCCTTTTCTCTTGGCACATTGGTAAGGTCTTATACATAATGTTATGAGATGTAATAAATGCACAACCTAATTTCTAGATCCAGTTTTTTTTTTTTTTTTTATGATGCCAGCAGTGGTAAAGCTAGAAATGGGTTATATTATTTGTGAACCTCTGCCATACCTATACTCTGTTCCATGGCTTTTCCCTGGGGAACAACACAAACCCTGTGATACCTGTATTTCTTGGTCCCATATAGAGTGCTAAGGATCATTGACTTCCCTCAACCTTGCAAAGTCAGATGAGGCAGGTAGCTGGAGGAGATAACATCATCAACCATTGCATCTAAACCCACTATCAAATACGCATTAACATTATGCAATATTAATTCAGAGTATACACAGTTCTCTCAAAGCAAGTGGAATAAATGGTGAGTATCTTTGCAAGGAGATTCCAATGAAATAATTCAATGATTGTGTTGTTTAAACTTGTATGTATGTCTCTCAGGGTAGCATTAAAAAATTCCCTTCTCGTCCTTTTACCTCCCACTCTTTTACATTCCACCTCCCGCTAAGAGAAAATTTATCTGGGAAGTCTTTGTTCAGAGAAGTGAATCACTAATAGATTCAATTATAGATTAGATTACTGAAATCTAAGTTGCAAATTATAATAACGACATTACATTGGAACTTACATGCAGAGCATTTTATCTAATTGTTTTATAACATGAAGTACATTTATATATATGTATTTTAAATCTACCAAACATTACTGGAAGTAATGGTAATTATATTAACGAGAACTGGGAAAATGGAAATAATATCTTAATTTTCAACTAGTCTGTGCAGTTCAGGAGACAATGGAGGAGTAAACACCACGCATGGAATATCTCTAGTGAGCATTTTGCATGTGTGGGTGGTCTGTACGTGACATTGCTCTATACAGAAATATCATCTTTGCCTGCCGTCCTCTCACACAGCACGGCAACATCCTCCTGCGAATTCCCGCTGCATCTGAGATGTTTCAAGGTTCTGGTCAGCAACTGAGAAGTTACGCTCAGTACTTGGGGACAGCGCCTCAGCCCCCCACCAAAGATGCACAAACTGTGTTTCGGCTTGATCAAAAGCAGATTTCTTTTTTTTTTTTTGGAGTTGTGACTAATTGTGCTGGTAGAAGCCCTGTCTGCAAGGCACACGCTGCTTTCTCCGCAACAGGGAACGCGGGTTACATCAGGCATGAAGCAGTTGCTAGTAATGAGCATCACTTTTCTCTCTTTCTCAGAAGGCAAATTTGCTGTTTGCTGAGCAGCTGCTTACGGAGCTGTGTGGGAACGGTCAAAGCGCCAGTATTCCTGAGGTACCACGTGCACACGTCCTCCAATGCTCCAGCAGCCTCGTGAAGGTGCTCACGTGGTAGGTGCTCTCATAGCTTCGGACTCTGCTTATTTTGATGTGTGTCTAGAGTTTTCAATTTAA